CTGAAGATGTGAGACAGGCCTCCTCTCTGACAATGTTTAAAACCAGGTTAAAGACGGTTCTGTTTAGCTGTGCATACAACTGAGGGATTTTATATTTTCATCTTTCTTTTTAATGTTCTGTGATAATTTATGATTTTAATGCTTTCTTGTTTTGTTCAGCACTTTGAGTTGCCTTGTGTATGAATTGTGCTATATAAATAAACTTGCCTTGCCTTTATTTACAGATCACCTTCAAAACTTCACTGTTGCAAGGCAAGTTTATTCGTATAGCACAAGTTGTACACAAGGCAACTCAAAGTGCTGAAACAGAATAACATACACACAAGGCATTCAAATAATAAATAATCACAGTACATTAAAATGACAATGCATGGTACAAGAAAGTAAACATTGTAACTGTAACATTTCAGGAAATACCAAAACATCTCAGTTTGTGTTGAAAGCCAGAGAAAAAACAGTCACTGACTCATGCCCGTCTAATTCCTCTTGGCAGCTGCTTCGACATTTGGGGCGGACAAGCTAAAGCTGATCTTCTGAACCCAGAGAGCAAGAGGGGTGCATCAGGTCGGCGAGGAATCAGCAGGAGCCAGGCCTGCTGTAAATACTTTTATTTAATCTATTCTGAAGGACACTGGAAACCAATGAAGAGAGGCTAAAAATGCTGTGACCTGCTCGTGTTTCCGAGTCCCAGGTGTAGAAGTGAAGTTTTCAACACTCTATTGGTGGGAAAGTGCACCATAAAGAGAGTTACAAAAAGTTACAAAGGTCCAAAGGTTCAAAATGTTTATCAGACAAAATGTGTTTCACTTTGGCAAGAGTCCCTAGTTGAAAATAATGAGACTTTACTGTGGCATTGTTCAAGATTCCCCCTGGTCTCAGTGCTCCCTCGTTCTCAGTACTCTCCTGGTCTATGTACTCTCCCAGTCTCAGTACTCTCCCGTTCTCAGTATTCTCCCGGCCTTAGTAGTCTCCCGTTCTCAGTACTCTCCCGTTCTCAGTACTCCCCCGAACTCAGTACTCTCCCGGTCTCAGCACTTCCTCTGTCGCAGCACTGCCATCGGTCTCAGAACTTCCCAGGTCTCAGTATTCCCTCGGTCTCAGTACCATCCCGGTCTTAGTACTCCGCTGGTCTCAGTACTCCCTCAGTCTGAAGTACTGCCTCGGTCTAAAGGTCTGCCTTGGCCTAAAGTACTGCCTCGTCCTCAGTGCTCCCTCGGTCTCAGTACATCCTCGGTCTCAGTACTTCCTCGGTCTCAGTACTTCCTCGGTCTCAGTACTTCCTCGGTCGCAGTACTTTCCCGGCCTCCGTACTCTCGCGGTCTCGGTACTCTCCCAGTCTCAGTACCTCCTCGGCCTCAGTACTTCCTCGGCCTAAGTACCTCCTCGGTCTCAGTACTCTCCCAGTCTCCAAGTTTTTGACACCGCTGATTTTTGCCCAGACCACAGAGGTCCTCAAAAACAATAATTCACATGTAGTGACTCAATATAGTCAATGTTATAAATCATTGCCTCAGGTTCAGGAGCAGGACTTACACACCTCTTCTTTCAGTCCATTCCTCTATTGCTCTGGACCAGGAGAGTGAAATAAAATAAATACAATCCTTGTATCTATTTGTCTGTTCGGCTGCTGTCTATCTACCCAGAAGACAGTTGTTGAATCATTTCCCCTTATTGATTGCTTTCTTCATAAATGTTGGAATGTGTCGTAATGTACACCATAACGTACCAGCTAAGGGCCAAAAACTGTTTAAAGAAGTTCAGTGACATCTGAGGTTTTACTATTTACAAACCCCTCACTGTTAAAAGGGGTTAGCAGTCTGTGGATCAGCCTGGATTATGTTTCCACTTTTCATGAACCAATTATTTGACTTTCCTGCTTTATATTCAACAAAAACTTCCCTCAGTTAATAACTTTGGCTAATTACAACAAGGAAATGAAAGCATAATTAAGTTTGAGTTTGTTTCTCTGCACATCATTCGAGCACAAAAACACAAATATTGTATTGTTTATATCTAGACACTGCTTTCAATTATGAAATGAGGCTATTCATTTACCCCCAGGTAAATGTGTAATTTAACTTAAAGTCCAACTGGATGTTATGTTAGTTAACGGACAAAAGCTCAAATCTCTCTGAAGTGCTGCATTTCCGTCCTAATGTGAATCCCTCATCTGATAAATCTGCGTGGAGTTTTGTTCAAGTCTATACTCATGGATTTGCTGTTTTGTAAAGAAGTGTTTCATGTGTGCCTTATGTAACAGTGCCCCAGCTTTTAGTCTGATCCGCCGAGTATGACGAATGCAAAGGCTCAGAGAGAGAAGCCAGAGCTGGAGTCTCCCCCAAAACCCCCCAAACACAGTGCAAAAAACCCCATGAAAAAAAACCAGTCTAATAACCTTATAATGACGCAGCACTGGAGTTTGCATAATGCTTCGCTAATGCTGTGCTAATGCTACTGTCATACCGTAATGCCCCCGAACACACCACCGCCAAACAGATTTAATGAAACACATTAGCAGTTATTCATCATCGCTGACAGCCGTTTAAGCTGCTTTACGCTGTTTTGTGACCCACCTGTACCGTTACACAGCAATATGTTTAAATGAACAAACAATTTGGAACATTTTCATATCAAACCCGCAATGTGAGTTTGAAAACATTTGCATTAGAATCAATAAATTTTCTCTACGCTTAAAGCCACCCTGTGTAATTTTTACAGCTGCTCCTTATGAAAAAAACATGTTAACTAAATACAAATGTGACCTTTTTAAGCATATTTACCTCCACCATGTTTTTTAAATTGTATTCGTAGGCTTAGAATTTAACTTATAAGTGTCCATGAGAGAGGAGGACTATCCGTGTCAATATGCCATATTGAAAACCGGTGGTGGATAAGGACAAAAAGGATGCAAGAAACGCGTTTTCGTTTCACATGAGCTACTGATGTCGTTGCTTTCACCATGCTTTCACAAGTTGGAAGAAGGAACCATGGAGGACCACAGTTCTATATAAGAACCAAAGAGGACCACAGTTCTATATAAGAACCAAGGAGGACCACAGTTCTATATAAGAACCAAAGAGGACCACAGTTATGTAAAAGAACGATCCGAACAACAATCTTTTCGAAAAATAATTATGCAGAAGTCAAGCGTCATAGATTCAGATTCAGTTTATTTGCCATTTGCAGTACTGTAATTCAATTTTCCTACTGGTCTTGCTCAATTGAGCCCGTTAACAGGTGGGAGGGGTCAACTCCTTTTGCAGATTCAAATGATGGTATCTGAATTTATCATGACGTATGTATGGTGCCCGAGTGAATGAGGCATTTAGCATAGCCTAGCTTTAGCCATCTCCTTTGTCGCTAACAGAGCCCGTGGGGAGTAGAGCCACAACATCATTGCAGCAATGACATTTGCTAAACATTCCTCTTGCTCCGGCTTCAATTTCTTGATATTTGGAGCAGATTACTTTACTGTCACATTCACCGCCAAACTACAACCAGCCAATTTGGCGCAAACTCTCAACGTCACCGACACCGACCTATAACACCCACCTCCCCCGCTCTCTGATTGGTCGGAGGGGATTCAACTGAGGAAACTGCAGCCACTAGGATCAGACCCAGACGTACATGTAGGAAAAGAAAATGGACCAGAGTTCACGGATGGATACGTCCAGGCTAGTCTTTACCCCAAGTGAACCAGACCAACAAGTGTGAGCGCACCCAAAAAATATCCTGAATGGTAAAGTCAAGCCAATGTTTTAAGTGAATGATTCCAGCAGATAGACAACAACAAAAAAAACAATTATATCTTATTATTATACGGCTCCTCACAGCAGCAGTAGAACGCTCCATTGATTTGAATGTAATTTCAAAACGTTCTACCGGTCATTATTTTCTATAACGGACCTCTCAAAACAATAATGACCGCTGCCCATGGCAACGCACTCTCTGCTGTCTTTCAGATGCGTGGATATCTCCGCAAGTAGTTCCGGCCACTCCGGAGCTAGCCACGCTCAATCAACACACTTAAATGTTAATCGGAGAATACTTATACATATACATTCTTCACACACGTGCATGGAAATGTTCAGAATTTCCTGGTCTTATCTTCATGACAAAAATACTATTTCTCTGCGTCAAAAAGCGATCGTGAAAAACCCGGAAGTAGTTCGGGCCGCTCAATAAACGCAAATGCCAATCAATCAACGCAATGAAATGTTTATCGGAGTGAATTATACATATCCAGTCTTAATACAAGTGCACGGAAGTTTTCAGAATTTTCCGTTTACGTTTTCATGACAAAAACACTGATGCAATGCGAGAAAAGGCGATCCCGAAAAACCCGGAAGTAGATACCGGCACATTTTAAGATACCGGCACATTTTCGGACACATTTGCAGAGGATGGAATTATGGATTTAGGTTAGGTTTATGTATGGGTCACTCACCGCTGATGTTCAGGATTCTGTGTTCAGTTTTCATGCAGTTCCAGAGAGTTCTAGTTTGGAAGTTGCCAGCCTGACTGTTGCTAGCATAGCCACGGGAAAGCCTTTGGGAACTATTTTATTTTCTGTCATTAAATAAACCTTTCGGCATTCCTAAAAGTGGACTGAAGTTTATGTTGTGTGTTCTGTTGGTATAAAGCCGTATAATAAGCGGAATAACGTATATTACGCAGGTCATTATCGGAAAATAAGTACATTCAGGGCGCTTCGCCCTGTCGGTACTTATTTTCCGATAATGACCTGCGTGATATACGTTATTCCTTACTTCTACACCTTCTTTTAAAACTTTTAGTCTGTGATGGTTCTTTTTATCCGAATCCATTAGAATTGGAGAGAGAGAGGATTCAGGATAGTTCTGTGTGTGGGTGTGTGTGTGAGTGCTCATGGGAGTTCTTAGTGTGAAAAGAAAGTTCACAGTTTTTCAACCAAGTTCAGTTTTACAGGAGTTTGAGCAGTTGTGTCCCAACTTTCAATATCGTGTGCAGTGTTTAGGGAAATGGCTGAGGTCAGGCTGGAGTGTGTTGTTTTTAGAGTTATGTCTTTGTTTCAACATTTTATTCCCCACAAAGAAAACATAAAAAATGACATCTTACAGCTTTCAATAAAAGCTTAACGTATACAACTGACTCGAGTTTCTTTAACTTCCAGTTCATTATAGCTTTAAAATCCACCTGATAGGATCAAAGGAGGCCAGCACTAATGGCAGGTGTGAAGCCTTTCTGCTCTATGTGTTATATAAAGAGTGTGAAGCAAAGCGTGGAGGATATGCAAAGAGAAATATGCAAATCGCAAGTCTTTCCAAAAAAAAGTGCTTAAAAGCCAGAAACTCCGGCTAGGCAACTACCTCCTGAAAATTCTTTATATTTTGTCTGTGTTTCATTTGCATTCAATCCATTGGTTTTGAGGAAAAGCAAGAAAGTTCACCCAATGTCATTTAAAGTTTTGAAGTGTATGTCTCTGACCATTTTGACATTATTATTATTCAAACTAGGACAGTCTCACTTTCACCATTTTGGAAACGTGTGAAAAATATTTTGTGACGGTAAAAAAAAAACGATGTAAGAATTTTCAACAGATTTAAAGTTGAAGTCTGTAAGAGTTCATACATTTCTCTGCCTCTCGTGTTCACACAGTGGTGTTCACACAGTAGTGTTCCCACAGTGGTGTTGTGTTTCCACAGTGGTGTTCCCACAGTGGTGTTCACACAGTGGTGTTCCCACAGTGGTGTTCCCACAGTAGTGTTCCCACAGTGGTGTTGTGTTTCCACAGTGGTGTTCCCACAGTAGTGTTCCCACAGTGGTGTTTCCACAGTGGTGTTCCCACAGTGGTGTTGTGTTTCCACAGTAGTGTTCCCACAGTGGTGTTTCCACAGTGGTGTTCCCACAGTGGTGTTCCCACAGTGGTGTTGTGTTTCCACAGTAGTGTTCCCACAGTGGTGTTGTGTTTCCACAGTAGTGTTCCCACAGTGCTGTTCCCTGACATCAGTCCTTACGACATTTCAAACACTGGTGTTAATCCTGTGGTACTTCCTTTTTCTCTTGTGTTGTTGGTGTTTTACGCACGGGGCACTCTCCTCTCTGTGACCTTCACTGGAGTTTGATACTTTTACCTGTCTCCACATCCTCAGCCCGCTCCTCCTCGCCCCCTCCCCTCACACCCCCACCTCCCATCCCAGTGCCAGCAGCCCGAGCAGCAACAGTAGGAGCGCTCTCCTCTCCACGGTACGAGGCGAGGAGCACCGAGCGCAGCGGCAGAGCGATGCTGAGAGCGCGGCAGGATGAATTTCACCTCCACCTGGTTCTGTTCCTCCTCGACTCCCCGGACTGTCTACTCTCACATCGGATTGCGCGCTTTGGTCTTTCTGCACTTGCTCCTCGTGCAGCCGTGCCTCCATCACCCGCAGCCGTGCCATATTCTGGCGCAGATCGGGCACACCGTGCGCGTTGGTGCGCTCTTGCCCGGGCAAAGAGCGGCTCGTGTCCAAGTGCAGGCGGCACTGAGCCGCGCTACCACGGGCATGACGCGGGACGGGGACAACTTCTTACCTTACAACCTGAGTCTGGAGCTGGTGACCCGCCAGCCCGCGGCCGCAGACCCGGAGTCCCTGTTCCGGTGCGTGTGCCAGGGTGTGGTGGTGCAAGGAGTGTCCGCGGTGCTCGCCTTCCCCCAGAGCCGCGAGGAACTGCTACAGGTGGAGTTCATGGCGTCGTGTTTGGAGATCCCCTTCATCAGCGTCATAGAGCACGGGGAGCCGCTGGACACACAGGTGGGAGCTGCACCTGAAGTGCTGCGTGCGCGCTGGGTTCCAGACGCACGCAGAGCTCCAGAGCGCACGGTCTTTGACTGAGTGTGACCCGGGTTTAAGTGGGCAGTCTGCTGGGGACTGTTCATGCAGTTTGACCTTGACCTGTTTGATTAGAGTTGAGTCAAATATGGCAGCGTCTGCGTCTGAGAGCAGCGCAGGAGAGTGGTTCAGAATGGAAATGTTCCGAGAGAAAGTGTCTTTATGTGTCTGGTTGGAGCTGTAGTTAATTGGTTTCTGCACAGTCTATGGCCAAGAGGCTACTTGTTTATGATGGTTCTCATCAAAAACCAAATCTGCAAAATATTAAAGTAAACATTACTCTGTATACATATTGATTATGTCCCTAATTAACGTCTATATTAAACAGCAGTTCATTTCCAACTACATTTTGAATTGCGTCACAGAGCCTCTGATTTGCTGATCTCCACCTCTTCTCTTGCTTTTGTAACATGATGCTGTGACACAGTGTGCTTACTTTTTCAAACTTCTTATGCTAAATCTGATTTATATTTGACACATTGACCACATTTCTGCCTCTTAAATGGAATAACGCAGCCGCATGTGTGAAGGACACGCTGTGGTTTTCAGATGCATGCAGTGCCATTTTATTATGTGTAGTGAAGCAGACAGTGGAAGAGCCCGAGCCTAAACCGAGGCTTAGGCAGATGTCGAATGGAGACCCAAGAGTTCAAAGCCCCCTGGTGTAGGATGATCTGAAGGTTATATCTGCACTATTCTATTGGAGATTAAAGGGGAAGTGGCCTGTTGCAACATAAATAATATGCCCAGGCACCCACCAATAAGAAAGCAGATGTAGTTGCCATACAAGAAGGGGCGATAGAAGTCATTGAGATGGATTTGTTGCTTTGAGTTTTCAACTTTTATGGTTTCGTTTGGTTTATGTTATGTGGTAACATTAATTTGGCCTGCAAGCCTTACAGTGGAAACGCAAACTGGGGTAAATAACAAAATCTATGGACTTCAAACCAAGTCTTTTGCTTGATTCAAATCTTCCACTTCTTGGCTCACTTACACACACACCGCTCTCTCACTATATCAATATGTTTGCTGGTGGCTGTGTTGTGGGCCTTTTTGATGGGAATCCATTGAATGTCAGTCACGTAATCTTCAAATGCGAAGGAACATATTTGAACATTTATCTACATAATCGCACTATGCCAAAATCATATCAACAAAGAAATGTGCATATTTTGGAATCGTCTTTGACTGCTGATGTACTTTGCTTGTGCTACACCGACCATAGTCAGATTTTATTTCATAATATTTATTATTTCCGTCAGCGTAACCACTTGTATGTCTTTGCTCTTGTGTCCTTTTATGCGTCTGTTGAAATGTATAGTTATAGTGTTGAATACATTTATTTATATTCAACATTATGATATGTTACAAGTATAATAGTCTAAGAGATTTCAGAAAGAGAGAGTGGGGGCGTGTCCCCTGTACCACATGCTTCAAGTGGTTGGGGAAACCAGACGAGAACATGCAAAGGCCCTATGCCGACTGGGATTTGAACCCAGGATTTTGCTGCAGCTGTGAAACTGTTTCTCAACTCTTCCGTTTTCACCTTCAACACTGTCTTCATGTAAACAAAAAGCCAATCCGATACCAACTCCAACATTTTACTGTCGCAGCAGTAAAACGATGAGAGTTTACGATTAGATAATACAAGTTGAGTTACTCGGGTTTCTCTCCCGTGTGAACAAACTCACAGTTGCTGAAGTCACCACTGTTCATAAAGTTTAACTGGGACTTTAAAAATCTTCTAAATCAATGATAATTATGTATAATGTCTTAAGTTGCCAACAATAATGTATTTCCTCTTTCCTTTGCCAAGTTGTGGATTAGTTGTATGTAAAGCAGGGATTTCCCCGAGGCACAGAATTGAGAGTTTTATTGGATATTTCAGAAGAGTTTTCTGTCTTCACTGTTGAACCTGCGTCATTTGCATCACAAAGAAGACGTGGCTCACCTTCTACTGAGGGCTGCAGCCGGTAAGACCAAGGTGGATTATCAATCACTCGTAAAAAAGTGCACTTTTTCTCATCACTGCTGCCAAATACACAACAATAGTGAGTTTGTTGTCATTGTTGAACAGTGAAGTGATTAGTGTAATGATTAGAATTTGAATGGTTTTGAATTTGAATACTTTATTTTGAGCCATACAAAAATTATATTCATACTACATTCATTGCCCTACAGAAAGCACTGTACCCACACACATGGGCCACAAAGAATTATGAACAAAACAATAAAATTACAGGGAGAATCTACACATACATTACATGTAACATATATTATTATTATTATTATTATTTAAAAATTGGGTTTGTCTTGCCGTAGTATTTCTATAGTTACACACATACAATAATATGCTTCTTTTTAACAAGTGTAACTTCCTAGGAGCAATTTCTCACTTGAAATAGCTTATGAATAGTGTCTGGGTGTAAGTGTAGTTGTGATTCTCTCATTCTGCAGAGACTAGGATCAATCACAGCCGCTCTACAGGAGGAACACAGGGTGATCCACATGAGGGACCCGCCACAAACACTCACAGGGCGAAGGCTGGTTCCATTACAGAAGTGTGGGCCTCACATTGTACTGCGTTCTGGCTGCTTTTCTTATCACCGTCAAGGTCGTTACGGCTGCTTTTCACTCATCATCAACATTTCCCAATTCAAATTCATACAAACATAAGTTGAAAATGTGTTTTATATTGAAGTTCAACGCTCATTTTTCCTAAAAGTATTGACAAAAATGACCAACACAATATTGGAATGTGTAAGATTTAATTTCACTTTTCAAATGTTGATCCAGTTTGCATGTGATATTCTTACAGAACATGATAACAACACGTGTAATCAAAAGAAGGTCGATTATAAAGTGCATGAGTTGATTGCAAAATAAATTTGATTATAATGTCATAGATCCATCTGTCAACTTCTCCCACTGTTGTTCTTTGTTGCGTATGGATTTTCTGTTTACAGCACAAAGGCCTTTGCTTTTATCGGACGTCACCCGCGGCTACGCCCCTCGGATTAATATCAGTTCTAAATGTCCTGCTCTTCCCTGGGCTCAATAATGCTCTCCCCCTGAGACGTCATTTTTCACCAATATGTCATGTGTAAGTGCAGAAAATATGCACATGTCCCATAAGAGAACACACACCAATCCATCAAACACTTCTGTATAACAACTAAGTAAAGCTGAGGTATTTAACTTTTACATGTGACTGATCCATGTTGCAGAAAGAAGGAAAAAGTTCACAAATTAGACCAATACTCTCTTAATCCTATTGTATTTGATTGCATAGTTGTATTTGTGTTATCTGGGCATGTTTGCATGTTCTCCCAGTGTCTACATAGGTTTCCTCCGGGTGCTCCTGTTTCCCCTACCACTAAAAACATGCACAATAGGTCTGAATGTAAATGAGTGAATGGATGGTGTTTGGTCAGAGGCTTTGATGGACCAGTGTGTTCGGCGTCTCTCTTCTGTCGTCAGAGAATGAAACAATATCTGAACTCTGAACATTGACAAGCGCTTTGGGTGGAAAATGCACAATAAAAATAAAAAAGACTTACTTACTGACTATTTATTGTGGATTGAAAGTTAGGATATATCTATATTTTTTTTCTGTATATATTTTTTGTGTGCAATTCAGGCTCGAAACAATACAACTCCAGTTCTGTGGACACCCACTGGGATTTCCATATCACACCGTTGCACCCAGTCCCTGCAACTGTGGCTCGCTCCAATCTCTTGTTTGTCTTTGTATTGACACCGAGGTGGGTTGTACGAGCTGTGGCTTCTTTTTATTTATTTATATACTTTTCTTTTTCACTTCCCCCACATTGGCGTCAACTCGTCCTATCTATGTTTCCCCTCGTGAAGACAGCAGGTATGGAACATGGTGAAGTGTTGACAGTGCGAGTATACACTGGCGGCTCATGTGGCCGTGTATGAAAATAATAGCAACAGCTGTTTATAAGTGGGTATTCCGGTATTGGTTAAATTAGGTGTGCTGTCCGTGGTGCTGAAACAAGCCAGAAATATGTCAGTTTGCTCGTTCCTTGGAGATAGTTTAACAAAACAGCTTTCGCTTCATAAACTGCTAATTTAAAGTGACAGGCCTTAAAGGCATTATAATTATTCTCTCATTATGGGGGATGTCGCATCAAGTGAAAGTTTGTGAGGAAGAACTATAGGATTAAGTTACAAAAACATTTGCTGCCCCTATACTATATACTTGGACACATTAGTCACGGTATACTCCATATAACTCTTTCATCAAATGGTCTTATTACAATACAAGTAAAGTATCATCCAAGATTTTAAAGGCCCAACAAATCAGAGAAACTTAAGTTCTGAAATAATCAAGAATCTGTCATTCAATCAACATCTGCAAAATATTGTGTCCAATAGTGTGACATTATAAAAACATTCAGTGTGATAATGAAAATAACATGATTATTTTAATATGTGAAAAGTAGGTGTGTCATCTACTTTCATGTACATATATAATCATTCAATAATTTAACTGTTTACATATTATAGGAAAATATAAAGGGTTAATTCAACTGGCAAAATATTTCTTGATTGTGTCAGTGGAGTATTCTTATTCGTTTCTATTCATATCAGTTAAAAACACACACAACGAAGAAACTGGGAGCACTGTCCATGGTTCTGAAGTGGAAGAAGGCCTGTCCACACCAGCTTGTTTTTATAATGACACAGACCTATTGATAAAATCACCCAGTACAATCTGACTGCAGAAAGGCTCTAGACTTATCTGGAGACAATAAACAAAAAAACAAAAAATGAAATAACAACATTAAAAAAGATTTCTCTGTTCAAACAGATTGGGTAAAAATAAAAAAGTATCATCTTTGTATATTTTTGTCATTAATCTGTTTTTGGTTGAATATCCATTTCTTTGCCAACAACAAATATAGTATATTCATTGGTATTGTTGAATTCAGTATTGATGTGAAACATTTGAGTCCAACGACCCACAAAAACAAGAC